AAAATAAAGTAAAGATTCAAGACAAGGAATAAAATTCCGCTTTTTTTTTTTGGATCGCAATATATGATTTCAACAATATAATCATAAAACAAGCTAAAAGAAGGAAGAGATAGAGACCAATAAGATTATTTGAGGATTGAACTTCACCAGGTGTGTTTGACCTAACCCATTCATCAACCAAATCCTTCCATTTTCTACCAAAAAAACAACAAACACAAGAAACCGTCCAAATCAACAACTCCATATCTACTCAATCTTTGCACATTCAAAAAAACAAATTTGATCAAGCAATATAAAACAGAACTAATCAAAACCTGACTAGAACTTTCACTAATCTCCGAACATCGCCTGACGGATGCTTCCTCAATCGATTCACATGCCTCCCAATATCAGTTTCCTTCACAATCAATCACCAAAACAAACTCAATATTTTGCAAAAGTAATAGCATATTAATGCATTCAACATATATAGCTCAACGCTACTAACCTTAAGAGCTTTGAATGTAATATCAACATCAGCTAAACTTTGAAGCAAATCAACCAATGAATCCTCAGACTAAATCAATTCAACAAACCCATGATTATAACTACTATTAGTACACAATCAATCATACCAAAATACAAACAGCAGCATGTAAATCAACACAAACAAACACAAAGAAATTCAACCTGATTAGTGTCTTCAATCTGTTCTCTAACAGAAAGAATCCTCCTAAGCTCATCATCTTCCTCATCATCTTCCTCATTCTCAACAAACCTTCTCCCCTGAAATTCTTGCTCCAACTCCTCCTCCACATCCACCTCGGCCTCGGCTTCAGCATCCTCATCAACATCATCCCCACCACGGATCGAAACAGGGGTGGAAGGCGAATTCGATTTCCTAGGAATCACCTCCCTTTCACTCCCAAAAACAGCCTCAACCACAGCATTAGTAACAAACCCATTATTAGTTTTATTATCATTACAAACTGCAGCTTCACAGTTATGACAATTTGTGTATAATTTCTCAACAATACCATCTCTCCTAACTCTAAGCTCATCTCCATAATCTAAAGAGGCTACCTTTATTGCAGTTTCTATAATCCCCCAAATATCTACCCCAGAATTTCCCAATATTCCTCTGAAATCATCCAAATCCATCTCTACCCCACCTCCACCACTCTATATACAACTAACACCCACCAATAATATCGGATTTTTCTGCAATAATTAGCAATAATCAGATCTAAAAAATTAAAAACCCAATAAAAAAACTTGACAAAAATTAGGAATTAATAAAATTAATACAGTAACTTAAAAAGATGAAACTGAAACTACCTACAGATCTGAGTTTGAAGCTCTTGACAAACCCAGAAATTTCTTTCTTTTCTCGGTGATTTGGTATTGATATTTCGACAAATTTTGGGTCTTTATTTAATTTTCTTGTACTATAGTAATATAAAATTATGAATGAACAATATTGTGTTTGTATTATAATCTAATGAAGTATGATTTATGATGTGAAATATAATACTAAATTAAGATAATGATAGTAGTATTATGCAAGAAATACAATATACGCTGACTTCAGAAAATAGAGATAAAAAAATAAAAAGGAGAAGAAACAAAGTTATGATGAAGAAGATGAAGACCAAGAACAAGAGTTAAAAATTGTTGTTTAATTTTTAGTTTTCTCTCTCTTCTTAATTTTTGGTTTTCTCTCTCTAAAATTCTTGAGGGAATTGGGTGTCTGTGTGTGGGTGCCAGTGAGCGCCCAAAGGACAGAATTCCGGGGGGTGTTTGGATTTTTGTTAGATTATTATTTTCAGTAAAATATTGTTTTTGAAAGAGGGAATATTTGGGACTTTAGGTCTCCAATATCCCTCATTTTTTGGGTTTGTTATTATTAAAAAAAATTAATGCATGATTTTTGTTTTTTTTACCCATTTCTTATATTTACTTGCTGTGGAAAATGTGGAATATTGGTAGGATTTTGGTATATTCTTATAATAATGCTTAGTTGAAGTTTTGTGATTTAGGTAAGATGATTAAAGTGTTAATGATAGGGATTGCTAAATGGGTAGGTGCCAAGTGGGCTGAAAAATTAGGATTGGATTGGGTTCGAGCCATTAAGTAGCTTCAATTAGGGTAAATCTTGTAAAGTTTGGATGATGGAATTTTTAAAAATTGAGTACACCGGTCCAATCCAACCTAATCTATTTTAGACATACATATTTTGTATTTGTTTACATAATAAGGATTCTATTCTCTAACTTCTTTTAGATAATGGAAAAGAAACCGAGTCAAATTGATCCAAACTGTAACGTGGTCAATATCAAAAGCGTAAAGGAGACTGGTCAAGGGCGGATTGAGTTCAAGCACAATTCCACCATGAATAATCAATTTGTGATATCAAGTCAGCTTACACTCTATAATAATAGTTTTTTTTAAAAAATAATAAGTGGATAAAACCAATTTGTACCCTTTAATACATGTACATATTAAAGTATAACACGTGTTTATAAATCTCAGCCATAAAGGCACTCAATATGAAGATGACACAAGATAGCTTGAAAAAGCCATAATTTTTTTTTTTTTTATAAGTTTGTTACATAAGCATGGAAAAGCTTCCTCTAAAATGAGTTAGCAATCTTAGCATTGAGTTAGAGCATGGAGATGAAGGATGAAGAATAGTAAGAGAGAAAGAAACGAATAAAAGTTGAATATTTGCTACGAATCAAACGTCCTAATGTCCTGTTGTGCATTAACCTTAATTAGAAACATGCTAGATAAAGAACATACGAAGTATAATACAAAGTGTGCTACTATAATCTTTGAAAAACAAAATTAGAGTCTATAATATCTTTTACATAATTATTTATACTCTGTAAAAACATTTTGACTTTTTCTTGGACAAAAAAAGAAGAAGCTAAAGCAAGGTAAGACAGGATATTTAAAGCAACAAGACAACCATGAAAGACAAGGGTATGCAAAGCGTGCAATCAATTCAGGAAAGCTCGAGTTTGCAAAAAATGAAAGTACTCGTGTAGATTAATGTTGACCAGGCCCACAATCGATTTGCAAGTTGAAATGTCTACATATAGTTAACTGTTCAAAGTCCAATCTTGAATCAAAGGCCCAATGCAAATAGATATACCAATTCCAACTAGAGTCCGATTTTATTATTATTATTATTATTATTATTATTAACGGTAAGATACGGGAGTGCCCCTTCTATGGGGAGTCCGTTTTATTGTTATACACGTACTAGTTCGATATTAGTTTTGACACTTATCATCACAAATTTACACACAATTTTCATGCGATGAGTTGTTGTGTGTTGATTTATGTATTATTATTATAAGGGGTGTTTGGTATGAATATTGAGAATGGAGTGAAAAGGAAACAAATAAGAGAATGGAAAGGAATCATTTAACTCTTATCTTTTTATTTGTTTGATTTAACCATGAAAAGGAACCACTTAATCCTAACATTTTTCTTTTTGTTTAAGGCCGGGTTAGGGTAATTGTTACCTTAATTTTTAGAGAGGTAACAAATAGGTGAAAATCATTACTCCTATGTAATGGTAATTATTACTCAAATCTTCTAACCAAATACTTGATACCGATAATGGCTTAATTGAATCCGTTTCCAAAAAAAACTCTTACCAAACATAATCTGAGTAGAGGTGAAAGAAAATATTGTAGCATATTATATATTGAATACGTAGTATGAGAGTGTGAGTGTGTGACACATTGCTTCTCAAGATCTCCTATGCATATCATTTTATAATTGATTAGGAGTTCATTCTTAATAAAATGTTACCTTAAAAACAAGATATCGATACCAATATTTTAACTATTGAGTGCAAACTTGATAATTGATAATTTCCATAATTATTGAGTGCAATGTATACCAACAATATCAATAATTGTTCACTCTATATCAAATACAGAGCTTTGTTTGAAAACATTTTACTTTAATTTGATTTAATTAACTTTTTTACTTGAATTTTAACCAAAGTCTATATTACAAAATACATACACATTTATTGTAATATATACATTTTAAAATAATTCATCACTTAATACTCTCGATCTTTAATACTGACTCACTTCACACCTAAAATTAAAGCATGACACATGAAACACAAACTCTATCCAAATCAAGATAAGAATGATACCCACATGTAGGCATCTAATTTGAGAAAGTGTTTCCATTTACTTTCTTTGTTGCAAATTCACACAACCAATCAATTTACGGACCATGGTAGTTCAACACTTTAAATGAGAGCTAATAAAAGGTTCGGGCAATGTCCAACTAAATAATACAAAATCATTAATGATAGTGATAATATGAGCCACCCCATTACCATTTATCACTTGACCCCACCTCACTACTCACTAACTAACGCTGAACGCTTTGCATTTCCTTCCCCTCCTTAAATAACTTCCTAATTTTTCCGCTGTACAGATTCGATTCCTAATACATCGTACTTCCTTCGTTTTCTTTTTAATCAATCGTACCATATGATATGTGTACATGATTTAATAAAAAGAGTATAAGATGGAGAATGTCAAATTTGTCAAGTGATACAAATAAATTAGAGAGTAAAAAGGTGAATAAAGCATAATGATGCAGTTAATATTCAATTTTTTACGAGTAAAAAGGAAAATGTTAGAATTAAAATAAAAAAAAAACCGAGAAAGTATACTCATAATATAGGAGAAATTGTTATTATACACCTGAGTTCACGCAACTCCGTTAAATTAATATATTTTCCCTCCGTTTCTATTTTTTTGCCCATTGTATTTTTTGGAATATTTGGGTTCAAACTTAGAAAATTTTGACTACAAATCCTTGGTTATCCATAACAAATGGTATAATCCGGTAGAATGTTGTTATAATTATTACAATGTCTCATCTAAAATATCAAATTTTTATACTCGTAATCTTTACATGTTATGCAATTGAAGATATTTATGTTTATGTATTTCAAAGACAGTAAAACATTAAATGGGGGCAAAAAATCAAAACAGATACAGTACATAATGGAAGATATGGAGTAGTCTATAAAATGTATGCACCTATCCTAAGTCTCCAAGAGTAAGAAACTAAAAAAGCTAGTAGAAGAGAGAGAGAGATTGTAGTGTATTTTAACATGGCTAAGTCACCGGAAGAAGAGCACCCAATTAAAGCTTTTGGCTTTGCTGCTACTGATTCGTTTGGTTTTCTCTCTCCTTTCCATTTTTCTAGGAGGTAATCCCATCTCCATTGTTGTCTTTCTTTATTTCCGAATTTAATTGTTACATTAATTGTTCAAATTGCACTATAAACATGTTTATTATTATCCAGAAATATACCTACGTGTGATGGATTTATAATTGTGATAGTTACTTAGTTATGACGTACTTGTATTTCAATACTTGGTGGAGATGGAGATAAAAAGAAACTCATCTTGTGATCCTAACGTCGTTTGTTTAAGTCTCACTATCTATTCTCAAGTTTTGATCTTTATAATTGCTTTAAGAGTTTAAGTTATTTGTGAAAAAAGTGTCAGTTCAATAAAAAAATTATACATTGGCGTTTTGTAACATGATTTACGGTCACAGACCCACGTGTATGATATCGATCTTGGAAGCTGTAGTAAAATCAATTGTTGATTAAACTAGGGCTAATATCAAATTGTTGGTGATTTGTGATCTTTTGGTCAGTTGGCACTTAATTACTTGCATTTCAGTTGTGACTTCATTTGAAGCTCTTGAACAGTGATTACATTAATTAATTAATTAATTAATTAATTAATTGTACTACCAGAAAAATAGGTTCACTTCTCTCAAATGCTAATGATAAATTTATGACAATTTTTCGATTTAATTTGTTGCTTGAAAATTATTGTCAACATCTTTTAACAGAAATTAGTGATCGATAAATAACAGTACGGAGTAGTGTTTAAAGAGTTGTTTAGTAACGGAAAAGGCCTTTCGTAATGTTTCTACAATGAAGTTATTGTTAGAGAATAGAGATCATTGTTGATATCATATCTTGTCATCTTTGGCATACTAGGATATTATGTTATAACTTTTTGATTTGATATTTATTGTTTGTAATCTTTTTATGTTTGATCTTAATTGTAATTATCTTTACTGGTGTTGTCATTTCTTTGCACCCCCAAGAAATTAAAAAAATGCAAAACTTGCAATCCTTTCATTAAACAATAATATAACGGATCTTTCTGTTTAACCTTGTAGGGGTACGGTGTTGTTCTAGTATCCATTAAGATTTAAGACACAGCTTGATAAACTTATCACATTGTTGTTCAAACTATAAGATATTAATGTTAAAGGATAAAAATGACAAAATGCGATTGTATTATTTAGGAGCGGATAGAGTACCATTCAAATGATGTGATTAGATATATAGATGTTCATGTTAAAATATGCTGAAATTATGTTCCCTCCATTTTGAAATTGATTATAATCTATAAGTGTCCTTGTTACAGGGAAAATGGTCCTGAAGATCTCAGCATTCAAATCTTATTCTGTGGAGTTTGCCATTCTGACTTGCATTCTTTGAAGAATGACTGGGGTTTCACTAGATATCCCATTGTTCCTGGGTAATTTACTCTGACATATCCTGTTCTTTCTAATAATTTTTACCATATGTGTAAATGTCCTTTCATATCATACCGTAAAAGTGTGCATCTTTTTTTTTTTTTTTCTGTTCTTGAATCCGTTTTTGTTTCCTCTTTAAGGCTGATTAGTGTTTGTGTAGCCTTTTCGCCGTCTCTTAGCATTTGCTGATGATATCATCACTTGGATTGTTTTCCTGCATATAAATGGTTTTTGTCTTTTGACAGTTTTGAGTGTCAAATGATGTTTCTTGAATTGTTTAGGCATGAAATTGTGGGTATTGTCACAAAAGTTGGGGATAATGTGAAGAAATTCAGAATTGGACAGAATGTAGGCGTCGGTGTCCTTGTAGGCTCCTGTGAGAAATGTGAATCCTGTGAGCAAGACTTGGAAAACTACTGCCCGCGTATGATTTTCACCTACGGCGCCACAGATAAAGATGGGACGAGGACTTATGGTGGCTATTCTGATAAGATCGTTGTTAACCAGCGATTTGTACTGAAGATACCTGATAATCTGCCTCTTGATGCTGCTTCACCCCTCTTGTGTGCTGGGATCACGGTATACAGTCCTATGAAGTATTATGGAATGGTGGTGAGTGGGAAGCATTTGGGAGTTTGTGGATTAGGCGGGCTTGGTCATGTTGCTGTCAAGTTTGGGAAAGCCTTTGGACTGAAAGTTACTGTCATTAGTTCCTCCCCTGGTAAAGAGGATGAAGCTCTCAGCAGACTAGGCGCAGATGGCTTCCTTGTCAGCACTGATGCTGCAAAAATTAAGGTAATGGCCTTACTTCTATGCTTGTTTTTCTGTTTTACTATGATCTATTCAAGCGGTTTATATTCAGCCATATTCACTAAATGATTTCAGAGATTTTGTTATTATGTTTATATGTCAGTGTTAGTTGCTCAGATCATCAGAAATCCTTGCATTACTTTATTCCACGCGAATTTGTACTGTGATAATTTTGCAGTCCTGTATACAATGGATTTAAAGTTCGAATTGTTATTCATGTAGGCTGCAATGGGGACAATGGACTTCATTATTGACACCGTCTCTGCGGTGCATTCATTACTTCCTCTGCTTGGCTTACTGAAGCTGAACGGGAAGCTTGTTACTGTCGGTCTCCCAAACAAACCCCTGGAGCTTCCTGTATTCCCCTTGGTTTTTGGTAAGTCATTATAAGTTTCTTGCATTTTGGTTAGATACTTAGGATACATTTTCATACTATGATGCTTAATTAGTGAAACTATGTTCTTCAACCCCACCCTGCAATTAGACCGTGTTTTCATTGCAATTGGAGCCGTTTTATTCGACTCCAAAATAGCTGGCTTTTGATTGTAATGGACTACGCCAAAATGACTAAACACTTGTGCTTGACCAATGACCATGATGTTGAACGGGTTAAATGGAAATAGCATCTACATCACAAATAATAGGTTAGTTGCTTATACATGCATATCTGTGTGCTCGAAACTTCTTGGTATTGGCGCATTGGACATTAGATTAGACATACCACATACCTCCTACATGTATGCAAGCCTATTACTTTTGAGCAAATAAACATTCTGACCTTCCTCATGGTTTACAATGTCATGACGGGTGCAATTTTAGAGGCATCATTGAGATAATTTTAACGTCGATATTCATGTAAATTATTGATAGATCACAACAATATATATGTTGCTAGTAGTCCATGGAATACTAGACATACATGATACATACATGGTGTTTTTATTGCATTCATTACTTGACTTGTTTCTGAACAATGTTTACAGGCCGAAAGCTTATCGGAGGAAGTGATTTAGGAGGGTTGAAGGAAACACAGGAAATGCTAGACTTCTGTGGAAAGCATAACATCACTGCAGACATAGAACTCATCAAAATGGAAGAGATAAACACAGCTATGGAACGCCTTGCTAAGTCTGATGTGCGCTACCGTTTCGTTATCGACATAGCCAATTCCTTATCAGCTTGCAAAACATAGAAATCTCAGTTCAACTATTGTCATGGATCTTGTGAGATCCCTATTATAGGCTAGTTGAAAATCTTGGTTTAATAGAAGTCTGAAACTATAATAAAGTTGGGTCTTTGAATTATCTTATGTTAGATATGAAAGTATATTTAGTCTGTTTTACTGAATTTTCTTTGTTAGTGATTTTGACATCTTTAACTAGTTTTGCAATGTTAGGATTGTAGACGAACTAGTTATGTTGACAAAAGTACTTCATTTTATTCACTCTTTGATCATACTAATCAGTATGCGATGATCAAATTAAATTACAAATTGATATGGAGTATTAATCGTTAGATGCACTTGAAAGCATATACATTTGGAAATGTGTGTGTGGCGATAATAGGAATGCAATCTAGGAGTTTGTAAGAAGTTTGATTGGAATACACTTGAACGATGAAGTGTGAAATGTGATTAGGATTACTCTTGGATGATGAAGGTGTGATGAGAAAAACATTTGAGAATAGAATAGAGTAAAATCAACTCAATCTTTTTAAGAGTTTATATATGAGAGTAAATTTAGAATTACATATTTGTCAAATTCAAGTATTAGTTGAAAACACGTTAAAAGGCTTCAAGGTTATTACATGTACTAATCCATTTTTCATTTCTAATTGTCATATTTATTAGTTGTACTGTTTTGCAATAAAATAATGTAATACATGTAATTCTTTTTTTTTTTCTTTTAACGGAAAAATGAAAGACATCGATATGTGAATACGCTATATAGAAACAATAAAACAACAAAATGAGGTACTTTTCTTTCTCAAAAAAGTTGGTATTTTATTACCAAATAAAATTTGGTGTATTGGAAGTATCTCACAACTATGAAGTTGTAGTTTTGTAGGATCAAATCTCATGTACTAGAGACACTTTTGGGGTTGATATTCCTCTACCCTTCGCCCTTCGGTCCCTTCCCCCACTCTTAGTTCTCACTAACCAGGACCGGATTTATTTAAAAGAGGTTCCAGCCTGATAAGCTCTTTCATCTCATCAATTAAAAAAAAATACTTCGTGTTTTGTTAGAAGAAAGGTACTCCCTCCGTCCCATAATACTTGACACAGTTTCCATTTTTGTCTGTCCCACAATACTTGACACGTTACTAAATATGAAATGGAGCCACTAATAATTTTTTTTTTCCACATTTCTCTCTCCTCACCTACCTCACTCCTACCCCACTTTTTGTAATTTTGCAATATAAAAATACAAAAGATAATCTGTTATACAATAAACAAATGTTTTAAATGGACCCTCTTATAATTTCTTAAACTACATGTCCACTTTAATATCCCAAATATTATAAGACGGAGAGAGTATCTTTTATCCACATCCTACTTTCACCCAAAAAAAATTCAGTTCTTTGATACACTCGTGCATTACTGTCCTTTCAAGTCTTAATGCCATGTTGAAATCCAAACCAAACAAATGAATGAATATTCTAAATTGTAATGTTCTTCTATTACATTTATTTAAGTCTTGAAAAAAAAATTCTGGATGAATGAATATTCTTATGACTTTTGTTACTAGTAATCCCACGTGCTTAATGTATCAAATAATTGAACTTCAACTATGATTTTGACCTTTGAACAGTAACATTGTACCAAGATTTGGCAGTGATAAAAAATTTCAAAAGTCAAAGCTAATAATAAAATAACTGGAGTCAACGTAGAGCAATTTATAAGTTTGAATAATTTGGTAAATAAAGGCATACTTTGTCACTTTGTAACTATGTAACTTTTAAATTCACTTGAAAATAAACAATTTATGATCTTTGAAATTTTGAATCAATTGAATCTATTCCTTTGAGTATAATTAAGTACCCAATCAACTTCAAAAAAAAGAATCATAGACTAACATTCTAACAACTTGCAAGTCAAAACCTCACCTAGCACCACTAAACTAACAAAATAAATTACTAGTCATGATATTTGAACACTAAGTTACAACATGATATACATTAATGAAACCCCCGTTAATAAAATATACATTAATGAAACCAACTCAACCAATTACTCTTTGTTCGTTTAACAAATTAAAGACAACAAGTGATCAATACGTAATATTTAACATTTACGGGCATGGAACAGAACATGGCCCAGGTAGGCCCCCCCTAAATTCATCCTACACATAGAGTTTTTTACGAAAATTTCTACGTTTATGACATCATGTAAAAGACTCGATAGATTTTTTTTTCAAATATGTGATAAAAGTTATGATTTTTTTTCTTTTATAAAAGGTATATCAAATTTTTACGACTCTTGAATTTAATAAATCTATATACGAAATACAAGTTTAAAAATGGTAAAAAATAAAAAATAAAAATAAAAAATGTGCATTTGTAATCACATAAAATGCAAATTAGAATATCGCTATGGAAGGAATGGAGCGGTAGTTATTTCTGTTGTAGAGCTTTTCAATTAATACTACGTACATACAGAGATTTAATATATTATGACCACTACTATAAAAAAAGGGCTTATAGAACTGTTGAAATAAGCTTTATAGAACACCTTAGGACCGTTCTTCTGCTAAGCGATGTATAAAGTTTATAAAACGGTTAGAGGAGGCGTTTTGTATGCATAACTATAGCGAACAATATGACACAACCGTTCTCTATTCTATTCCTAAAATATGAAAATAAAGTTGGAAAAGACAACGGTTATCTATACTTGACAGTTTTATTTTCCCTTACCAAAGAGAACGGTTTTATAAGCCAACACTCACTATTCTATCTTTTTTTTAAAAAAAAAAACATTTTGACAATAATCCACATCTAAATTATAAATAGAAAAACAAATAAAAAAGATGGAAATGAAATTGAACTAAAGTATCAAGAACTAAAAAGCTTATAGAAATGAGACTAATAGTTATAATTATTTTTTGATACAATAATGTGAAATACTAGTACAACATATCAAAGAAGAAAAAAAAAACTAATTCTACAAAAATCTGTATGCAACCCGATCTTCTCATCTGAGTAATCTGCACTGAAAAAAAAAAAAAAAAAAAAAAAAAGCAATTACACAACTAAATGCTGATCGAAAAGTATCAATTCTAAATAACAATCAAATCCATAAAACAAGTCCAACAATTCTAAAAAATCTCTTGAATTATTCCTCAAATAAATTTTAAAGTAGAAGAAAATAAAAAATTTAGAATAAAAAAATCAACCCCAAATGTATAAACTAAAATTAACAATAAAAAAATTAGGAAAAAGAAAGGAAAATAATCATATTGTAAAACTTCTTAGTGGAGATGAACTATTATTACGAGACAGAAGCAGTGAGGGGTTGAAGATTAATTGAACTATATATCAATGGTGATCGCTGCAAGATTCATGACGTTGACTACCTCTCGGGTCGCCGTGGACATGGACGGGCTGCACAACAAGAGTAACACCATGAATTGAAACAAACCCTGTAAAATTATGAAAAGTAGATTCTCAACATCAACCCATTTCAAAAACCTTGAGAAATATATATTTCCCTGAGCTTCGGCGGTAGTTTGTGCGGTGGTTGGCGGTGTGGATGGAGTGCTGGTATGTGGTGGGTTATTATTTTTTTTAAAAAAAATACAATATAATTAATAATCAATTATAAATAAAATAAGAAACAATTTAATTAGAATTAGATAAAAAGTGACCTGTTTGATAGGTTGTAGGTCATATGACTTATTTAAAGATAATACCCTATAAAAGTCAACTTATTTTGAGTTAATCAATGGATTTGCTTATTTGAAAAGACCGAGTAAAGATTTGCTTATTTTGACAAATTATTTTGGGAAGTTCATTAGGCTTGAAGTGTGGATGTAGCATGGGCTTCAACATATCCAGCGTTTAATATTCCACTTTGAAATGAAGGGTGGATAAAATTCGAACCCATGACCTTTGTGTCACGCTAGGCTTTTAGTTGAAATCCAGGATCGATTTACGTACTCTATCATTAATATTTTAAAATTATAAAAGTGAAGACGAAGCTAACATTAAGTTTTATTTTATAGCTATTGATGAATAGTCATGCCCAATTTCTCTATTCAACTTAAATATCCTTAACCAAAGCAAAGATATTGAAGTAAAAAAATGTGCAAAACCTACTAGAGAGGAAGCATTACAAGGATATGGCATTATTGCAAGTTTGCAACATTGGTCATTGCTTAAGACACATGACAACTTTTTTTTGGCCAAGTAATTAGCCTCAAATCAATGCTACTACTAGTGTATTAAGTATTTAATTATGTATTACATGAAAATAATTCCATATTTGACCATGAGTAAACTAATCAAAGTCAAACCTAAAAAGGCCCCCAAAGAAGAAAGAAACAGGGGAAAACAGAGCCAAAACACAAAGACAAGACAAACTACTACAATACTCTTTAGTCTACTATAATTGAACATACTAATTATATGATAAATTCTTAGACTCCTTAATCTTCCTTTGACTTCCACGTGGAATAATCTCATCCGTTGGATATGCTAATGGTGAGGTTGACATTGATGAAGAAGGTAGAGAAACAGAGGAACCACCCTGCTGTTGCTGTGGAAGCGGAGGAGAAGACAAAGAAGAAGACATTAACATTTGATCTAATAAACTTAATGACCTATAATCACCATCATTAGAATCAAATGAACCACTGATTAATCTTGAATAATCAATATAATCCTTGTAATCCCCTGTTTCTTGTAAAAACTCCAATGGTTGATTTTGCACTAATTCTTCGTTATTTCGAGAAGCCGGCAAAAGGGTTGCTGGAGAATTGGAAATGGTTAAATGGATCGCCGGAATATTTGCCGGAGCATTCTGAAAAGTGACATTTTCAGGGAAATTGAGTTTGGCTTTGCTTCCCCTGAATTTAAGGGCAGCTTCGTCGTAAGCTCGGGCAGCAGCTTCAGCAGTGTCGAATGTGCCTAACCAAACACGGGCAGCTTTGTAAGGGTCCCTAATTTCAGCTGCCCACTTGCCCCAAGGCCTTTGTCTAACTCCCCTGTATTTTCTTCTACTTGGCTCTGCTCCAACTTGTGGTAGTGGTGTAATGTTGGTGCCTTCGTTTTTAATGGGATTTTGATGAGTGTATGTGAACGTTGTTGATGTTGCTCTTGTTGTTGGTCCCTCTGCAAGTAGAGATTTTATATAAGTATCGTATTCATTAACATTGCATGTGTGGTGTTACATCACAAGATTCGAAACTAAAAGGATATTTTCATTGCATAAGGTAATATGCTAACATATGTTAAATAGTGTCAAAATGTAAACTAGTTTAAGTGATAAAAGTATACAAGTTATCAAGGGAATGAGATTAGCAATCACTTTATTAATGTTTAAGGAATTGTATTAGGCTAATTAGAAGTTACTAGTGAAGTCTCAGTTTATAGCGTTTTAATGGTACAATTCGACTGAATCAATTATCTAAACACTAATATTACAAAATATATATTGGACATTTGGACACTTAAACTTTGTACATAATAGTAATCAAACATATCTCTTGTACTAAGGGAGACAACTAGGTTAATAATGTTATCTGTTTCTCGTGGTAAGATACGGTGAAACTCTTCTCTTGTACGATAATCACATATCCATGTACTATAAATTCATAAAATACTATTCTAGATCAACAAGTGTTTTCATATAGGTTGATGTTACAAATGAATTATATCGAAAGAGGTCGGCAAGCCACAATCAATAAAACAACATTAGGCCTTTTTATTTTCAACATGACGATTCCTATGTACCATGTTTAAGGTTTTTGCCGTACTAGTTATTAAGTACTAAGAATCTTAGTTGAATATTATTCAAATATAGTACAAATTAAATTAAATGTATCCACTGAAATTTGGAACACGGAAATTAGTCATTTAGCATATATTATGAACACAATACAAGTGGATCACTCTAGCAAATGGACAAGACAGCATGCATTATCCCAATTTGTGACGCATAAAGTAACTAATACACAATATATTATAAATTAGTTGTTAATTAGCTAGTTCTAAACATGGTTATTCTATTTCAGTTAACAATCTGTCGTATTGAGTACTCCGAAGTCCGAACAATGCATGAATTGATGAATGTAATAGCGTCAATACTATATTATAATTTCGTCGTACTTTTTTTTTTATTATATTAATTGTTTATATTAAAAATATTCCTTACGATAAGCTCACGCGTTTAATGTCTTACATGTTACATAATGAATACTTAAATAATTTATTTATACAAGTTTAAAGGTATGGATTAATGGTGTACTATATACGTACTGTATAGTGTATACAACTATTTAGCGTGTCATTGGCACCAGATAATGGTTCTAATGTTTGTTTGTTCTACAATCTATTAATATTCTTGCTCACAAACGTATATTTATACTGTTCTTAGAATAAATAAAATGTATATTGAACATGTAATTTGATATTTATATTATGCATTTTATGACATGAAAAGTGTTAATATAGGTAGCCGATGTAGGGATAACATCACATGCATCAATGCATATAATTATACGGAGTACCTAATATAATGCCATGTTGTTGTACTAATATCATGATGCATATATATGATTGTCACACCAAAAATTGCATCTATTATAGTTGTATGTGAGGTGTTTTTTTTAAAAAAAATAAATAAATAAATTATTCGGTGTACAATTTTATTAAGCTGATACGTACGTCTAATACAATTTGTAATACGTAGCTTTATGATGAACACTAATGCATGAACTAATTAACAACCTATTTAACTCAAATCTCTCTTCCAATTTAATTTAAAGGTTTATAAGATTTCATTTAAAGTGTATATTACGTTAACATATATAGTTTTTATAAATTTTACTCGTATGTGATTTTTATTCGAACAAAACAAATGATAAGTATTATTTAACTCATCAACGACCCATCTAACTTATAATCAATAATTTTATTTGATATTAGTCCTATTACCCTAACCTTGATGCTTTCATACAACAATCATAAATACAAGTAAATTAAAAGAAACAATATTAATTTAAATCCACCGCTAAAAAAACAAAAAAAAAGATTCTAAGTGAAGTTTAGAAGATAAGTACTAAAGAGACGTACCTTTTAGAGGAAGATATGGATATGAATAAGAAGAAACCAAATTTCCATGCCCATGCCCTGCTTCAACATCCAAAGACAATCTCCCCTCTTCATCTTCATGCCTTCTCTTCACCCCAAAACCCGACGACGACGACAACGACGATGACAACCACAGACTATAATAATCATTACTCATAGTAGAAGAAGCAGCAGCACCAGAAACAACATGAGTAAGAGCAGAAACCATCTCATGCATTTCTCTTTCCCTACTAAAACCCGGTATCATTGGACTTAATATCTCCTTCATCATCATATTCATTCCTTCTTCTTCCTCAATTGAGCTGCTTGTGTTATTATTACTCATATTAATAATACTTGTTCCTTCAAAGTCACCATTTTTATTTCTTTTGCTTCTTTTCGCCACCTTTTTTTCTTCTGAGAAATATACACACATTAATTAATTAACAAGGGGTTTAATTAATTTTGTGTAGTATTTAATATTTAATATACTAGTACTAAATATAATTCTAAACTTCTAGATAATTTTGACGGTTTTTTGTAATAAATGGCTAGCAAGCATTTATATATATATACGAAATAATTTAGATTGAGACGCCGCCATTGAATTTTAAAATTTATAATAATAATGTGGATATTATGCTTCCAGAGTAAGAAAAAGTATTGTACTTGTAGTATACATATACAGTTACGAAGTATTATTTAAATAAACTTTTTTATTATTTTAATTTTGGAGGGAATTTCTGGGTTCTTACTTGCCCAACTTGGATTTGGCTTTCTAGCTACTAGCTTATTTTTGCAAGTGGTTAATTTGGAGTTGAACTAAAAAGCCAAGTAGGACACGGATATGGAAAAAAAAAAAAAAAAAAAAAAAAACAATGTTCATTATTCAACGTATTCTAATTCTTTGATTAATTTACCATAATAATTTAGTCAGTTTAATGCAATGCTCAAGTGTTATTTTTTACTTATTTATTTATTTATGTATTTATTGTGTATTCATACTTAAGCCCTGTTCTGTTCACCTTATTTCCACTTATTTTACGAAAAATAAGTTCTAATAAGGGTTAATAAGTTCATATAAGTTCAAATAAGATAAGTTCATGAAAAATAAGTTTAGATAAGTTCAAATAAGTTGTGATAACGGTTAATTAGGGTTGTCCAAGTTCAATTTAGAACTAAAATAAGTTCAGATAAGTTAAAATAAGATCAGAAAAGTAAAAAATCAGATGAATAGAACGCACCCTTAATTTTTCCATCACAAATATTAGATACAAAGTATATTAGTCTATGCAATATTCGCCCTTAAAAGATTGCCCATTTATCTATTTTTTTCCTGTATTTAGTGGTTAGACTAGCTATCAATTACTAGTTGCACGTGGGGTGATGATGAATATTAATCGTCATACGACTTTTATATAAAATAATCACTGTCAAAATAAGAATAACTTTTAGAGTAGAGAAAGGAAGCAGAGAGATTATCATATTAGAGAAATTGATAAAGTAAATGTTTCGTGTCAAATTACATATTCTTATCACTATAAACTTTCAATAAAAACGATTTTTCTATTTTCATTTGATTTTTCAGAGCGTAATGTCTTTATAATAGGAAAACGGAATTAATATCATCACAAAGATAGGATGAATTTTGACACGTCCAAATGTCTTTAAACATTAAATTATACAATTTTATTTATAATTGCATAATATAAAAAAATCAAATGATAATGGTACAAGTAAAATGGGTTGACATAGTTAATTGAGGAAAGTGATTGGGAAAGTCAAAGTTAGACTTATGGATGTTTAATTTTAAAAAGGAAGAGGTCAAAAAAGAGGAGAGGTTAAGAGAGGAGGCGGGGTGTGAACGTTAAGTTGTCAACGAAGCAAAACAGCGTCAAAATTTTAGCAGCAACAGTGTCTTCCAAATTAAGGCAAGTCGGCCTCTACAACTATCTACCAGAGAGAGTGACGAAACCTGATTAGGCAGCAATCTAATGCATGTACGTTATTGTAGGGAACCGACATCAAAACTCTTAAACTTTTTATGGTCCCTCCTTCAGTTCAGTTCTCTGTATCTATGATGTGAACATTTTTGTACCGTTTCACTAACAAAAACATAAATTGGCCTTTCTGTTACAAAGTCATATACTTTCTCGATCTTACGATACGAGTATCCCTCTATTTTATAATAATCGCAACCCTTTGACTTTTGTACTATTCATAAGCTTATTTTGAGTCTTTGATCATACTTTTTATTAATAAATATATGTTGTCATGTAAAATATTTTTGGATTAGTCTTTATATATATTTTCATTGTATTAACCTTATAAACTTTTTAATAATACATAATTACAAATATTAATGGTCAAAGTTGTGCATTGATAAATGTCAATCAAAGTATTGCGGTTATTATAAAACGGAAGGAGTGCCTTTTAATTTGTATAATAAAGTATAGTGTATTTTTTTTCACTTTAGCTTATTATACATGCCTGACTAAACTTGATTAACTCTAGTTTCCTTCATAAATACACATGGTTGAATCTAACTGGACTTAATTTCACCTCAAATTTATACGAGTACTTCATATTAGATCAATATACACGATTACACGCAATGTGTTTTTTAAATATCTAAATTTATAGAGATTTGTATAATATTGTAAATATAGGAAATGAAATTAATCCACCTTTGCAACATGGTAAGTTGATAACCCCTTTAGATGTATCAAACCTTTAAAAGCCTACGTAGTAAGTTGCAATCCTAAAAGCTAGAAATTGATGAGGCACTTGCTCTAATTAATTTACAAAAAGCGAGTGATCATTCTGGAAAATAACTGCACAAAAAAGGATAATTCTCCTTCAAGATGCTCCTACAAAGTATAAGATTTTGCCCTACTCTACTTTAACAGCTTATACTAAAGTCCCAAAACAGGTGTTTTTTTGTAGCCTTTTTCAATTTTGGGACCAATCTACTAGTACTACTACGGAGCATATAAATCTTTCGAATTAATAAGAGGTAATTTAATTATATGGAAAATCAGAAAATATAATGAGAGCCACAAGTTCTCATTCCACTATATAATGATAATAGTATAAGCACAAGAACAATACTAGTACATTCATATCCCAAGCTAACTTTATATACAAAGATGCCCAGCTTGGACAGCTACATTTTTTCAGTTGTTTTGACCGGATTCCATCTTTGAGCAAAATATACATAATTTCTCAAACAAGCAACAAGTATCGCCTAAACGGATTATTAGGCCACTCCACTAGGCTAGACAAGCACTGATGATAAGTATAAACGCTTATGTTGCATACAGGGATCATGTACTTTTTAACTTCCACAAGCCAAGCAATCATCGCGGTTTGTCAGTGAACATACCATCTGTGCTAGTTTAGAACTGTCGTCTCAGCTGCTGCTGAAGCTGTCTTGGTTGGATCCTGAATTAAGTACCACAGAAACAGATGTCAGCAAAAGATAACTGGGACTTATTCAAATATATCAACAAATTAAATGGTAAAACAGTGCAATACATTTAGTATGGAAGTATCCACAGTGAACTTGATAGCATCAGCAGCTGCTCGTGTCCTTAAATAGTACATGCCTGTCTTCAAACCCTTAGACCATGCATGAAAGTGCAGAGAAGTTAACTTTCCGAAATTGGGTTGTGTCATGTGAATATTTAGGCTTTGACTTTGATCAATGAAACATCCACGATCAACAGCCATATCAACCAGTGTTCTTTGTTTAATTTCCCAAACAGTCCTGAAAAGGGTTTAAAGAGTCAGCACCCAAATGAAAGAAAGTAAATCAAGGAGGAATTCATATAGGAGAATAAAATACTATACTTGTAGATAGCTTTCAGGTCTGCTGGGATCTCAGGAATTTTCTGAACAGAACCATCGTCATATACTATCTGGTTCTTCAGCGTAGGAGACCAAAGGCCCATCTCAGTCAAATCGTTAAGAAGATGTTTGTTCACCACAACAAATTCACCACTGAACACATAAAAAAGAAGAAATTAAGGTTAGCTAAATATTGGATCAGATAGGACAGGCTAAGGACATAAGTAGCACTACAAACCTTAAAACTCTTCGACTGTAGATGTTGGAGGTGTATGGTTCAAAGCACTCATTATTTCCGAGAATCTGGCTTGTTGACGCAGTTGGCATAGGAGCTACAAGAAGTGAATTTCTAATACCATCCTTAGTTATCATTTCCCTAAGAGCACTCCAATCCCACCGGTCTGACGGAGTAACACCCCACATATCTGGTTGAAGAATACCCTGTGGAATGCAAACAATGATCATAAGCTTTAAGAATGCAATTGCTGTAGCTTTATATAAACAAAGGAATCCATCACAGCCTAATGTAACTAAAATTGCTTTCGATTTCCAGTCATACCTTGCTGACAGGGCAGCCCTGGTATGTCTCATAGGTGCCTTCTTTAGCAGCCAACTTACAGGATGTTTTAAGAGCATGATAGTATATGGTCTCGAATATGTCTTTGTTCAACTGCTGGGCCTGCAATTCACAAAAAGCAATTGATAGGGATGACAATTTGCATCATGTTTGCAAGGAATGTTGAAGATTTAATAATGTTACCTCTGCTGAGTCAAAAGGCATGCCAAGCAAAATGAAAGTATCTGCAAGGCCTTGGACTCCAATTCCAATTGGCCTATGTCTCATGTTTGATCTCTTTGCAGTTTCAACAGGGTAATAGTTCACATCAATAATTTTGTTTAAGTTTGTGGTAACAACTTCAACAACCTCAGCTAATTTATCAAAATCAAAGTAGCGATTTTTTGAACCCAAACTTCCAACAAGTTTAGAAGGCTGAGACTCAGAAGGAATCCCCTGCACAAAAACGTAAAGTTTTAATTATTAAGAGAAGACAACCAAACAGTTACAAGCTTATGCTGCATAGAAAAATAGGATAGTCATAAACATGAACTATGATTACCTTCTCCCTCACATATCGTGGAAGAGCAATAGATGCCAAGTTACACACAGCAGTTTCTGTTGGACTGGTGTACTCAATAATCTCAGTGCACAGGTTTGAAGACTTAATGGTGCCAAGGTTCTGCTGGTTGCTCTTCCGGTTACATGAATCCTAGAATTGCAAAACATAACAGTTGGTTTAAAGCAAACCTTAAGAAAAAGTATGTTGCAATATCTTAACATTTAGCTTTATGATCAGGAACAGATCTTACCTTGAACAGCATGTAAGGAGTTCCTGTTTCAATTTGAGCCTTCAGTATCTCAAACCACAAATTTTGCGCCTGGACGACCTTCTTTGCTTTACCCTGGTAAAGAAGATATACATGCAACAAATCAGCTAAAAGCATAATACACGTATATAACCCATTAATAAGTTGCAATGCAAACAACCCTCTTGAAAAAGAAGGATACATTACCTCTCTTTCATATTTGACGTAGAGGTTTTCAAATTCTTTACCCCAGCAGTCCGCAAGACCTGGAGCCTCATTAGGACAAAACAAGGACCACAATCCATTACTTTGAACTCGTTCCATGAAAAGAT